TTTTTTTGTGCTTGCTTCACAGATCCAAATGATCAACTCTTTTATACCCCCCCAGCGCTTCACAAAACCCCATCGAGTCGAATGTCCTCTGCTCACTCCAAAGCGTTTTGAAAATGAGCAATTTAAGCTGGATGGTGTTAATGTTGCCTTGACGACTATGTGACTCATCTTGCAGTCAGTGCGGCTGGGCTGCACTGTCAGTACTTTCCACTCTCTCCACTCTGCATTTAGCCTTTTTTCTCTTTCTCCCTCTTCACAATCTCCCCCCCCCCCACCCCCTTCTGCTTTCATTTTCATTTTCTTTCCGCATTCGATTAGCGAATGATTGTTTTTTTTCCCTGTGAGCCCGTTGTCTGCAGTGAGGGCTGTGGGGTGGAGACCTGCCTTACTGTTCGGAGGTCTCTCTTGGAGGGGGGGGCGGGGATGGAAGTGATTCACCTCCTCCAACTGATTTAGTTTGGTTTTATCTTAAACGAGTGAATGGGCTGCTCTGACTTTGTAAATTCTCACGAAGTCTTTGAATCCGGATCCTCTGATCACTCCTGTTGGAAATTATTTTGCTTGAGTGTTTTTCGACTTCTGGGGTCATGCTAAAAATCTTCTTCCACCTTTGTGCTTTTTTTTGTGCCCCAAAATGTCCCTTCGAAGGGGGGGGGTCCCTTCGTTTCTTTAAATGCCTGTATTCTGCTCTTGAGGAGGGATCAGGATATTGCTGCTCGTGGTGCAGGTTGCCCTCCTCTTTTATACCCATGCTTTGGCTTTTAGTTGTATTGATCTTTATTGTAGTGCGATTATAGTAAATCTCATTTGCGCAAGCTTCTTTGCAGGTGCTAAGCAGTGCTATGAGGAAAACCCTCGGCAGACAGTTCAGATTAATCCTGTGATTGAGTCGGTTGAGGGAGAAAGACCAGCAGGTGGGTTGGGGCCTCCAGGATCAGCCCCTGTTTTATGGAACCGAGATTCGAGTTGGTGGCCTTATTACGATCTCCCCAGCTAGCTGCTGGGTCAGCTCTCCACCAGGGAGAAACGGGCGAGCAGTGGGCCCAGTGTTGGGTGACCTGCCACCCCCTGCACTGCTTGAGTCGTCGGGCGGTTGTGTTTTCAGTGATGGAGGGCTGCTGGTTTCTGCTGTGTAAAGGCACTGTGACCCGGGCGTCACCTGGGAAAGGGGGGTGTCGGGTGCCAGGTTGTGTAGTTTTCTCTCCAGTTAGCATCCGAGGAATCTTCCCCTAAAGAAATCGTCCTGCATGCAAAAACTGGGTTCCTCGCCGCTAATCTATTTTTAGCTCCGCTCCACAAAGTAGTGCTGTGCTTGTTTTCTCCCAAGATGTCTTCTCCAAATGTGTGAATCCTCGAGGGCTGTGTTTTCCATTCTCACTTTGCAAGCGTGAGGACACATCACAGCTGTCGGTCTCTCTGATCTTGATTTTTTTTCCCCTCCCCCCCCATCTTGGTAAAGGAGTCTGGGGGGACGCTGGGGGCTCTAGGTTCAATCCCTGGGGTGCAGTCTGTGTGGAGTTTGTATGTTCTCCCCCTGTGGTTTCCCACAGTCCAAAAACATGCCAGTAGGTTGAATGGGTTCCAGGAGGACCGGCCCTGGTGTGAGTGTGCGTGTCTGTGTGCCCTGCGATGGACTGGCATCCTGTCCAGAGTGTGTCCTGTCTTGCTGGTATAGGCCTGGCTCCCCCGCGGCCCTGAATGGGATGAAGCCCTTAGAAAACGCATGGCTAGGTGGGTGCAGAGCTGCAGGAAAATTAGTGTATAAGCTCGCTGAGTCTTAAAACCTTTTTTAAAGTAGCAGTTTTGTTTCACGTAACTTTTGCTTTCAAAGATAAAAACCTTGCGATCCTTCCATGATCAGGTGTGGTTAGCTTTGCATTTTACTACAGACGGAAACGCATTAAAAAAAAAACAACCTTTAAATGATCTTTAAACCCCGTTATGTTAAAACCCTAAATGCCCTGGAAATTGTCCAGTTCCTTTACAGTCCTCCCATTCCTGTAATGAGTTCACAGCACCTGCACCTGGCCCATGGTGTCAACGTGGGTGTTTGTGTCGGCTCCATTTTGTGCTGGGCCTTTTGTCAATGTTTATTTCTCTCTCTGTCAGGCCTGTATGCTATGAGCTCTCACAGGTTATTTTAAACTGTTCACAAGAGCTAAGGAATTGGGCTTAAAACTTTCATTTAAGCCAGCAGGTACTTCATTGAAGCCAGATCTCAGGTGGAATGAATTTGTAAGGATGCTTCGTGCCTGCAGGTCCAGAGCTGGGCGGTTCTTGCGGTTGTCTTTGGTCTACTGGGTTCCTGTAGTTCGGCACGGGCTGCCTCCCATCGGATACTGTGTTCGGCCCTTCAGCGGCTCCTGTGCTTGCGTTCTCCACAGGGCAGGTGCCCGAGGAAGAGGAGGCAGAGCAGAACGGGCGGAGCCGGGGCCAGGGCCTCCCGAAGCCCCTGTGCGTGAACGGCATGGAGGCGGGGCAGCTCAACAGCAAGTCGAAACCGGACCGGCGCTCCAGCTCCTCCTCCAACCCGTCCCGGAAGGGCGTGTCCACCAGCAGCAAGATCCGCAAGCTGTCCACCTGCAAGCAGCAGTGAGCCAGCCCCCCCCCGCCCCTCGAACCCGAAGCCACGCACTGTATTGGTGAGTGTTGGGGCGAGCCTGCTAGGGTGCCGAGCAGGGCAGCAGCTGGAGGGGGTGTGGTCCTGATGCAGGGAGGATCGGCTTGTCTGCAGGTGTTCTGGGACTCTTCAAAATGGCAGCATAGGAAGAGCTGGGAGAAGGGGTTAAATGGGTCCTCTGAAGCCAGTAATGAGCTGATTGAGCTTAAGCCCCGGGTTCGATTGAAAACCTACCTACCCACCAGCCCCCTGGGACTGGGATTGCCCATCCCTGTGGTAGCTAAAGGCATTCGACTCTGTCCTTGTTATTATCCCCCCGAGAGGTGTGATAGGCTGCCCATCAATACAGCTTCGATTTCTGTATCGGAAATGTCTCAGGAAGGAGCGTCACACCTGTCCAGTAAAGAGAAAGAGGGTGTGAAATCGGTGTTTAATGTGGGAGATGTCACCTCCCTCTGCCCTCCTTCTCCAGCTCCTTTTTTTTTTTTATTTCCACAATGAAATATTTTGGCTCAAACAAATGGAGGTGATGGCGTAAAAGAGAAAAAGGCACGCTCTGAAACCGAATGAAACGGGGCTGGAGATAGACGAGGGAGCTTTCATCTGTGTAGAAATCCCTCCGCCCGTCTCCCCCTCCTCTGGGGGCTCGTGGCTGATGAGCGCCGGAGTGTGGGTGTGAGCGTGGGAGGACAGAGCTGCAGTGTAATCAGCTTTCCAGGGTTTTCACCCCCTCTCTCTCCCCCCCCCTCCAGCAGCACCTGCTCATTCATGTCAGTGCATCAGCCCCCCCTGCCCCCCCCCGCTCGTCTGCGTCGATGACTCATTCACAAGAACGCTCCTGCCATCCTAACAAGCCTCTCCGGTCTTTCCTTGCACTGCCTGGGCTTCTTTAGAAGAAAAGTTAGCATTGATCTTTCTTTTTTTTTTTAAGCTCCTTTTTTATTAATTGAACTCCTTTGTCGTCATAGTCTATTGTGTCTTTGGTCGTTTTTTTTAAAGCCCCTTTCTCCATTCTCTGCGATTCCAGTCCATAGTACATATTGGAATACTTGGTGCATTGGTTCTGAGGTTTTCTGTTTTTTTGGGGGGGTTACTTAAGACATTTAATGTGTAGGAAAGCACTGCACTGAGCGGGTAAAAGATATCGCCACCCTGTTTTTCATCTCTGCTGCCCAACACTCTCTAACACTGGGCTACTGAACCCAGTGCAGCTCTGCACTCGAAGCGCTGAGCTCCTGAACACACTACAGCCCAGGACTCTTAACTACTAAGCTACCGGACACACTGCAGCCCTGCACCCTAACCACTGACCTCCTGAAACGCAACCTGATGGCTGTGCAGCTCCCTTCGTGCTAGCCACAGAACGTCGAAAAAATCAATTCTCATGCAGAGGATGAAAAATAATGAAAATCAGAAGCAGGAGAGGGAAACAAAAGTAAAAAAAAAATGTAATAAGTTTCAATAGAATGAGTCATCAGTGCCTCCCACACATTCTTGCAGTGACTGACTGAAATCAGGTATGTTAAGAGAGTCAAAGAATCAAAAATGTTTGGTGGTGGGGGGGAGGAATCTCTGCTCCGTAGTTCTCTGTGCTTGTATTTTTTTAAGTGAGGACAGCAGGGGAGAAAGCCCTTCTGATCCATTTTAAATCCCGTTGAGACAGACTCAGAGCTCAGCTACGTACGAAACACCCAAAAGTGATAAGAAGGGAAATTGTAGAGCTTGCAGGTTCTTAACATGTAACCCGGGGCCGGATTTTTTTTAACAATGTTTGCTCCAGTAAAGGTACAAGACATTGCATCCGTAGAACAGTGACACCATTGCCGTACCCCTGCATATACTCACCTCTCCCAGGGAAAGAAAAGGCCTTAACATGATCGCTTGAGCAAGGGGCGGATATTGAGCGTGCAGCACTGGCACCCGTCTGCGTTCTCACTCCCTGTACCCTCAGGGCCAGCAGGAGCTGGGTGTTGCCCCCACACGTCGTGCGCCGCTGGTGTGGTCGGGGTGGCAGCCCCTGGACTGGTAGGACAGTTGCATGGGGATGGAGGGGGGGGCTGGTTGTGGGTGGGGGGAGAAGCAGGTGGTTTAGATTCACCTCCCTGCACCAGCGCGGCGTCCCTGCAGCCTGAGTGGGACCACACGTGTAGTTCCGGGGGGGTGGGGGTTGGGAAGACGCCAAGACACCAAACCTGAGGGATGAGGTTGAGCTGGGATGCCTGGGGGTCCTACGGTGGGCCAGTCAGCCCAGTCTTGCTTCTGTGCCCTCCTGTGCGACAGCTCCCAAGACTCTTAAGGAGCAGCGTTGAGCTCCTGGAGGGTGATTTTCCCCCCCAACATCCCAGCACTCCTAGCCTCGAGCCGGCAGAGCCTCAGGCACCTGCCACAGAGCCGCACGTCTATCAGGAGAGCCCCTGCAAGTGTGCAGAGGAAGCCATTTCACTGGCCATCTTTTCTTTTGTCGGTCTTCCTCGCCCATCCAAGCCCAGTAGCACGCATGAGCTCGTAGGTTTCAGAGTACTGCAGGAGAACGTTCAGTTTATTTCAAGACAAAGGCCTGCGTTTGTAACGTGTTGTTTGTGTGTTTGTTTTTTCTCTCTCCCCCCACCAGGATTCTTCTTTTTTTTTTTTCCTTTTGGGATTTTCCTAACCAGACAGCCGGGGGGGGGGGGGATTGAGCGGCACTACCTTTCCCGTTTCGTTCCCGATCCTTTTCGGACGGACTTGTCTGAAGGCTGGTTTGTTTGGAACAGCGGGAACAGGACAGGGGGATGTACACAAACACCCCATGGATGACACGGACAGAGAAAGGGGAGTCTCCGAGGAGGAAAGCCTCCTTGCCAAATGAAGCCAAGATTTTCTCCTTTCCCCCCCCCGCCCTTCCTGGGAAGAAGCCTGGGTCGCAGATCGGCGCGGACGAGCCACGTTACGGCACCAATGCGTGTGGAACTTTTCTGCGGAGCCATTTAGATGCACTTTTTTTTTTGGTGGTTTTATTTTTTTAGATTCTATTTTTTTGCAGTTATCCTTTGCAGTATAATAGATACACATTGCGATGTGTAAAGAATAATATTAATAATAAATACTGATGATGATGATGATGGTGATAAAGATTATTCTAAGAAAATAAAGCTGCATGCTGTAAAGGGTTTGGAAAAAAGGGAAAGACTTCCAAAAAAAAAAAAGACTGGGATGTTTGGGTTTCTTTGTTTTTCTGTTAGTTTTTTATTTTTTTAATTATTATTTATATATAAAAAAAGGCATCCCGACCAGACAAGATTGGTAGTCTTTTGTGATTTTTTTTTTGCATTATTTCAGTTCTGTGGCAGTGGAAGGAGCAACAGGAGAAGTCTGTGGCGAGTGGGAGAAGCCTGAATTGTAGAGAAGCAATAAAATGAGCTGGGCGCACACCTTCTCTGCTCCAAAAACAACCCGTCTGTGCTTCGGCCTGCACCTCGGGGCATGCTGACACACTGGAGGACGCAATGTCCTGATTGACGGGTTCAGAGGAGGTTTTTTGGGAGTAGAGAGTCTGCCTTCAGCTCGATTTTAACACTTCTGTGGATTTTTTTTTCTTGGACAGCACTTCAGCAGTTTCGGATGTGTGCATCTTCTTGACTCATTTGTTATATGTAGATAAAAGAGCTGAGGGACCTAGATCTAGTGTGCAACCTCCTCCGGTTTCTGAACACTATTAAAGTGCCCAATAGGACCCCAAAATACAAAACCGGGTCCCCAACACTGCTGTACAGTATTCCAGCACATCTCGTTCAGTAGGTACCCCCTTACTGCTGTACGTCAACATGAAAGCAAGCGGTTATTTGCGTATTGATCCTAATCATTCATCTTTTTGGTATTTCTGAACATTGCTCGTAGAATATAAAATATAGTGGCTCAAATGAAGGGTTAGCAACGAGCACAGCAAAGGCCCGTGTAACGACAAGGGCAAAATGGATCATTGAGTCGTAAGATCATGGTGGGTTCCCCCCCCCCCACCACCACGGAAGGTGAGTTTTGTCCAGGGGGCTGATCTGTCCCGCTGGGGAATGTTGTTTCTTTAGTTATTCAGTAGCAGCTGGGATCTCGGGCCCTTGCACACAGAGGGGGGACTGGGATGGTCCCAGCCCTCCTGGACAGACCTCCTGAATGCCATGACCCAGGGAGAGATTTACCAGTGAGACAGCTTTCAGACCGTGCCCCCCCATGTGAATATTTTCAGTGTGATGGGCCGCTGGGAGCCTGCATCTTGGTGCAAAGCACGTCATACTGAAACGTAAGAAACAGGTGCATGAAATCGATTACAAACCAGAGGCGGGGGGGCGTTCAGTCCTGTTAGACCATTTAACTTGTAGCTTATTCACCCAAGGAATTGATCCAGATGGTTCTTGGAAGATGCCAGGATGTAGAATTCAGCAATAGAGCTGGATCATTCATTGTCACATTATTGGATGGGTGATTTATCTCATGGTATTTCAGTATCGCAAATTTAAGCAGTAAAATTGGGAAATTTCCTTTAGGAAGTAAATGTTAACACGGGGGGGCAGTGCACACGGGGGGTACATTGCTGTGAGGTTTGTGTGCACATGGCTGGCTGAGAGGAGGGCGGCACTGATTTGAAGTTTTTTTCTGCGTGAAAGGCAGAGGAAGTTAAGATTCAGCAGCCAAATTGGAGAAGAGCAAACTTTTTTTTTTTACATTGATGTTTCTCAGCCTGCATCAGTTCAGTGTTTTCTTAAGCGTGTCATTGTGAATAACCAAACACACACACACACCTTGACTCCAAGTAAAACGCAGGCCAACAGCAAAAAAATGCCAGTCTTGCATTTTCACTGTACTTTGCCGGTGCCCTAATTTTCTTTGCATCTGCAGTTTGAGGAAAGCAGGAGGCGGAGGAAACTGGGTCATAGGGGTTTAATGGCTAAAAATGGAAAGTGTTTCATTAGCATTCCCCTGGATAGAAATCTTTTCCTTCTGTGCCGCCATGAGTTTGTCAGCTTTCAGGAGCTCTAGGTCCTCTTTCAACCCTGTGGTTTGTCTGTATCTGCCTCCACCTGAGCCTCTGCAGGCACTGGCTTGGGCAGAAGAATAGTTTTAGAGGACAGGGGGTGCACCTCTCCTTTTGGTTGTATTGTCGAGGATAATTCTGAATTTCAGACCAGAGGTTTGTTTGTGAAAGTGCCAAAGGTCCAATGCAGTGCTGGTGTTCTATAATCTTCTTTTTCCTTGGCCCTGGAATAATTAAGAAGTTACTGTTTGTTAAAAGGTGTGTCAAGTCCCTGGGAGGCTTTAAATTTGGGATGCACTATTTAGCCACATCACGTGAGCCTGAGTAATTAAAATGCAGAGCGTTGGGGGGGACACTATACTGTAAACAGGTGCCGTCCTTTGGATGAGACATAAAACCGAGGTCCTAACTCCCTGTGGTCATTGAAAATCCCAGGGTGTTTCTCGAAAAGAGTAGGGGTGTAACCCCAGTGTCCTGGCCAAATTTCCCATTTTTGGCCAGGACGCCGGGCAGTCATGGCCTCCTAATAATCCCCATGTCTGAACTGGCTTCATCACTGCTCTACTGCCCACTGAGAGCTGGTGTGTGGGGAGCGCACTGGCGCACTATGGGTGCCGTCGCATCATCCAGGTGGGGGTACACATTGGTGGTGCTGGAGGGGATCCCCATGACATGTAAAGCGCTTTGAGTGGAGTGTCCAGAAAAGCGCTATATAAGTGTAAGCAAGTATTATTATTGTTGTGCTGTGGCCTTATAGATGGTGCAGTCCTGGTGTTTTTTTTGCTAGGGCAACCTTATTCTGTGTTCAAGGGAGTGACATCAGAAGTTAGCACAGAACCCTGACCTTGCTGGTTGAATGCAGCAACATCATTACCTTTCTACAATAGTGGACTGTGGAGGCTGATTGTTTTGGTTTCCTGATAAAAGGCCTGCAAGATACCACACATTCCTGGGCAGGGAAAAGGTTTTTTTCAGCTTGCCTTCTGATAGGCAAACATCCAACAGCCTCTGGGCTCCAGGGCTGAACAAGCAGCTGTATCACCCTGCAGCTCCCAGCTGGCAGCCCCACTGGAGCCCAGCAGGTGTGAGCCTGGCCAGTACCTGGATGGGAGACCTCCTGGGGAAAAACTAAGGTTGGATGAGGTATTGGGGGGGCAGTAAGGGGAACTCAACCTGTGGTCTGTGTGGATCCTAATGCCCAGGTATAGCAAAGGGGACACTACACTGTAAACGGGCGCCGTCCTTTGGGTGAGACGTAAAACCGAGGTCCTGACTCTTTGTGGTCATTAAATCCCAGGGTGTTTATTGAAATGACTAGGGGTGTTACCCCCGTATCCTGCCCAGATTTCCCCCAGCCTCCCAATAATCCCAATCTCTGAACTGGCTTCATCACTCTGCTCTCCTCCCCACTGAGAGCTGGTGTGTGGGGAGCGGACTGGAGCATCATCCAGGTGGGGCTGCACACTGGTGGTGATGGAGGGGATCCCCATAACCTGTAAAGCGCAAGTGTGGAGTGCCCAGAAAAGCACTATATACATGTAAGGGATTCTTTTATTATTATTAAGCATGGTGTTTGATCTCCAGAGCTTTGAAATGACAGCCTTGTGTCTTTGCTGGTTTGAGGTGGCTTCAGTCAATCTGTTGTTTCAGTTGGTAACCACGTTGATTTTAATGGCACATGAGGAGGAGGAAAAAAAGAAATAACTCCTGTTCACAAGACATATGTCATTATCAGGCTCTGGTGATGACAGTAGGGCTGTCTGTGCTGAGGGATTCATGCTGTAGCCCATGCGCTCATCTTCCTTTTGTTTTTGTGTGGTCTGAGTGACATGGGAAGGGTCTGTCTGTGTGAATTCATATTACTAACGGAACTCTATGCTGCAGTGCTTAAAGCCCTGCTTGTTGAAAAAGGTATTTTGAATAAACGTGACGCCGCCACTACAGAAATAAGATGGAAATTCAGGCTGCTGTTTTTTTTTTTTCCCCAATTCGACAACATAAAAAAATCCATGGATGTGACTAATCCAATTTTATGGGGTGAACAGTAAAGATTTTTTTAAGATCCAGTGCATTGCATCATTCTTCCAGAGACGGAGAGTTGTGTGTGTGTGTGCGCGTGCGCGTGTGGTTGTCTGTGCCAGCGTACGTCGAGGTGCTTTGTCTTCCTGAGCAAGGGTTTCTGCTTCAGATTACAAGTAAATAATATGCAGAATTCAATTCATCTGCTGTAAGGCCACCCACTTACAACCACTGTGACTGCTGCCCTTTTTCTGTCCTGCTCCTGTGAAAAGGTTGTATTCTGTTCAGTTCCAAGGGGCTCTGCTCACTTTGTGCTGCAAGAGCTGGGACTTGCAGGCAAGAAGCCTTGGATCTTCAGTTGATTTTGCTTACAAGTCTTGATAGCGATCGAGCAACTCCTGTTCTCTTCGGATCAAAGTCTGTTCCGAGCAAAGGTTCCTCTCAAGCACCTTTTCAGAACCCACTGGAGTCTCCAGCTGCTTTGAAGGACTCGGTTAGCCCTCCCTGTTTGGGAGCGTGTCTTTAACATTGCGGCATGAGTGGATTCTTTTTCATGGTAGGGGACTGTGTCACCCTTCCCCTCCAAGAAAAGAAAGTGACGACCAGGTTTGGGGGTCCGAATAAACAGGCTTCAGGCTTCTTCCGCACCAAGGAACACCCCCCTGCCGGCGTTGTGTATTTAGCACACGGGTGGACTATAGTTTAGAGAAGCGCAAGTTCATTTTCTTTGTCTTCGTTTATGTGTGTGGCCCACACTTCTATCCAAAAGTGATTTTCCATTCACACCCGTTTACACGGCTGGGTGTTTGTACTGGAGCTGTTCAGGTGAAGCAACTTGCTTGCTGCAGGGTGCTGCGGCAGTGTCTCACCTGGGATTCGAACCCGCAACCCTCCAGCTCCGGGCCCCCCCCCCCGTGCCACACTGCTGCCTGCGAGAGTGGTAGGAAGGCCTCTGACTGAACACACGCTGAAATGAAGCTCTGAATCCTCAGTCCCTGCTCTTTACTCCTCAGGCACCTCTGTTTATGAGATCACCACTCCATCCATTTTCTGACGGCTTTATCCAACTCAGGGTCGCGGGGGAGAGCTGGAGCCTGTCCCAGCAAGCAACGGGCACAAGGCAGGGTACGCCCCTGGGCAGGACGCCAGTCCATCCCAGATCATAGCTTCAGTGATGTTTCGTTTATCTGCTTGGTGCCTGGGAATGGGCAGTGACTCAGGTATGAATCCCAATGTTTGGATCAGAACTGGCGGAACTAGCCATTCTCACCAGAGACCCCAGACCACAGTAGTTACTGCATCTATTTTATAACCAACACAATCACCACAGCAGTTAATGCTTCATTCTTTTATTTGCCGATTGAAAATAAAAGTACATTTCACTTTTTGGTCCCTTAAAGTTCTGTGGGTTGCGGTTCAGAAGTGACTTTTGTTTTGTTTTGTTTTGTTTTTCCCAAAGAATGGAGAATTCAGTTGTTTCCCCCCCCCAAGGAATTCCTTTTAGAAACGAGCAGTCAAGTCAATTTTACAAGCAGGAGCACAGAAACAGGTTTGAAACGGAAAATAAACGGCAGTAAAATGTGCACAAAATCTCATCAGCCGGCATCACCAACAAAAATAACCAAACAGAATTTAAAATCTAAGGATACCAGTACGGATTTTCTTTTTTTACATGGAAAGAACTGCATCATTAATGCCCTACGTTGTCTGGAATTTTCTCAGTGATCATGGAAAAGTAAAAATGCCCAAAATCTTTTGTCTATATTTCTTATACACAGTAATTCACATAAATCTATTCATGTCTCGGAGAAAGTTTATTTCAGTATGCAATGCTAACCATCGTATATGTATATATAGCAAGGATATCTCTATGTATATAACCAAAATAATAGCATATATATTCCATACAAAATATCACTTGAACAATATTACGGTTCTGTAAATCTTAGAAAAAAAACTAGCTAGTTCTGACAAAACTGATTTTACTACTTAATTACGGGCAGCCGGTCCCTAATTAAGTCTCTACCTAATGAGAATAAACTAATTTACCTTCTGCAGCAGGCCACTGCTATATATCACAGGACAGAGTAAAATCAATCTTTACACGTCGTTTATTGATAAGTGGTTACTGGGCTTCTGTTAAGAGTGTCAGCCACACCTAGAGAATGGCTCCTCAGCTGGGCTCCACTGAGACTTGAATCGCCTGTCGCTGTGGAGAGCTGGATGTCCAAGAGGACTCAGGCTCATGGTTCGAGAGTGATATAACAGGAGTCCTCTGAACTGTCTGTGTTACCAGGTGCTGGGGGAGACGTCCGACCAGAAGCTCAGAGGAGATACTGTATGTCATGAGTGATGCGGAAACAGCATGAATCGGGACACAGAGCGAGTGGGTTTGGACGAATGCAGTAACAGGCATTAGATGGGTTCATTTGTTCCCTTCATGAACCCATCCTCCTCTTCGCTGGGAGGGATATAAATTCTAAAAGAAAAATGGTTTTTTTTTTGGCTTTGGATGTGCGAGGGGGAAAGGGGAAGCACGCTGTCAAATGTTCTGGAAAAGGAAGATAGAAGAAGCTCTTCTCCATGTTCTCACAGTTTCGCAGGGATCTGAAAAGCTGCCATTTTGCCCCCTGAATGCTATTTGAGCAGTAAAGAAAAAGAAACCGTTTCCCCACCCCATGTCTCCCACCCCCCACCCCTATTGTCATAAAAAAACATTCAGAATAATGGCCGGCAGTATTGGTGCTGTTCGTGAGCACTGCAGTACTTTGGAGCTGTGCTGTCCTCCTGGTGCGCACAGCTGTAGCTGTGTAGCAGGCTTTCCTCTTGAGACTGCGTGATGGTAGCATGAAGCTGTCTGGAACCAAAGTCACAACTGGAAGCACAGACTGGATTCTAGAAGGAAGATCTCTCTGCAGCTGTTGGATGAAACCGTTCGGTAAGAGTGCAAGTGCTGTCTTTACAAGTTTCCACGACGGGACGCCTCTCTGTTCTCCCAATGGCACGACTTTGGCCTTGGTGCTGTTCCTGCCATACTGAAAGGCACAAACCAGAGCCGGCAGTACCGCGATCTCAGAAACAGGCCCCAAGGACGCTAAATTTAATCAGCGTAGCGTGTGGGTTTTGTTTCAGGTCATGTGCATGGGAAAAAAACTTACTTAGGGGCTAGGTCAGATCTAGGCCAGGCTGATAACGGGCCATTTCAAAGCTGAGTTAGGTGGTATTGTTACATTGAGATGTGTTCGAAATTTGAATGATGTCAAGGACAGAACAGTCGTTCTCCAGTGTGAAGCGATTCAAAGTGAAACCAAATACAGTGAAAATGAGCTTTTTTTTAAAAAAAAAAACGCTATACTGAGAATTTGAATTCCCATACTATTCTTACATTCAGAAATTGTCTCCTTCTGCTTAGCAAAACGAGGGAGTTTTAGATCTGTTTTTTTTTTTAAAAATGTTTTTTTCAGCACAAAATTGTTCGAAGACTGCGAACAGACTTCTCTCCAAGTGCTAGGTCTGTTATTAACTTTAGGAACATCGGTCTGCTCCTCTTCCCTACATTGCCCGCAAGGAACACAGTGATGAATAAGAACTGTGCTGAAGTTTGCAGTTAGAAATAATTTTCCCAGTCCCTATTCAGCATGTCTCCTGAAGGATCCCTAAAGCCATTTGTGATAGTATTAGAGACTGTTGACAGCGACACAGATCACGAAATTGAATTGCTTTAGAGATGGTGCTGCAGAGCTTGTATAAGGCATCACAGTTGGGACTAATTCAGAATATAACACATTCTTTTTTTGACTGAAGTGCAGCAGTGATCCTACAGCTCTTCAAGAGCTGAGATTTGTTTTAAAGTGCCGTAATGCATCTGAAGGAGGCTCTTCATTTTATTCAGCATTAATCTAAAGTTTCTTAGGGAGCACAGCTAGCCTTGTTCAAGAACAAGCAGCACTGGAACAAAGAAACGAAGCTGTGCAGTTTAGCCCGAATTAAGATCTGTGTCTGAGCCAGTGGTGAGCAGTGGAAAGCTCGAGAGTTTCTCTCTCATACGTTTCCTGGGAGCTTAGGAGTCTCCACATTAGGACATCAGAAACTTTCCAAACCAGAGAAGGCCTTTTGACACATTTAGCTCGTTTTGGCTGCTAATTGCTAATTGATCTGAGGACCTCCTGCAAGCCCGTCTTGGAAAAAAGTCAAGGTAGCAGCTTTTGACAGCATGACTAGGTAACTCGTTCCAGACTCCCCCAACCCTTTGTGTAAAGTCTCCCATTAAGTTTTAAATGCACTTCCTATGCATGAACTTGTGTCCACTGGTTTGTTTCACTGTTGTCCATTAAGTTGCCTTTGCCTTTAAGGATTTTAAATACTTAGACCAAGTTCCCCATAGTCTAGAAGGACTCAACTTCTTTAGCCTTTTAGCGCCAGAGATACCCCTTAGCCTGGGTATGTACCGAGAGCATCAGTGTTTTGTGTAATGTCATGTGGTGATTGAAATTGTACACAGTGTTGTAAACGAGGTCTCGCTCTGTGGCTGCAGATGACCCTGCGATGAGAAATGTTTGCCCTTTTTTTGAAAAAAAAAAGATTTTCAAAATGTTTGGCAGCACCAACCTGATCTCGGCCTTTGTGGAAGCCCTAGTAACTGTGCCATAGAGTCAGCTCATCTAGCAAGAGATGAGGGGGTTTCTGCATTTTATTATGAGTATAATGACCCTCACCGATATTTTACCAGCACTGAAATGTTACGGATTGTTTTCTCGTTGTGGGTAAATCCTAGTTGCTTTAATGTGCCATACAAGCTCTTGAAACTGACCAAAATTCCCATTGGAATGCAGCTTCAGGGAAAGACATTTTTCAATTCAGGTACTGCTTCAGTGGGATTCAAAGATGGTCTTGTTTTTCTGCCTGTCTGGGTTCCCATGAAGACAGATCTATTTCCACCCACCTCCTCACCAAACAATTAAAGAGCAAGGGCACTTAATTAAGTCATGAGCTTCTTTGAGTTCTCCAGCCAGAACTATACACTTGGGAGTTTCTGAGGAGGGTGGAGTAACCTACTATACAGACAACTCTTTGGAACAGATGAGGATCTGATATTTAAAAATGCATTTATGAGTGCAAAGCTTTCAGTTTTTAAAACATTTGAACATATCCCTTGTAATAATAATCTTTCCTTCCAGAATATGCTTATTGTTGGCACATACAGCAGAAGACAACGCATATCGAAATGCAGAGAAAAACTGACGAGCCAAGATAACACTGTCTATTAATTAATGTCTTTAAGAAAATGTAGGGGAGATATTTTTGGCACAAAAAAGAACCAGTGTTAGAACTCAACGAGCAACAGAAAGGAACCATGCTGAATAGGAGCACAAAAACATTTCCTGTAACCTATTGATCAATTGATTTTGATCCCGGGATCTTGGCAGATTTCCATTCAAACTGAGACCCATAGAAAAATTGATAAGGCGACACCTTCATAAGGAACTATTCAACCCTGCCATGTGGCCACAACAGGACACATGAGACTCTGCTGCCACACATCCAGGCAGAATTTCCTCAAAGCAGGATAAGACGACCCATAAAGAAGAAATTTAATTCGGCTTTCGTTTTCCTTTGCAGTTCCCTGTTTAAATTGGCCCACCCAGAAAACCACCAGGGATTGAAGACTTTTTGTTGTTGTTGTTGTTGTTGTTAAAGGAAAGGAAATTAAAACCCAAACACAAGCAGTTTGCAAGAGTCACTTGACTCGGCGTGTTCACCGAAACACGGAAGAGAAGAGCCCAGAGGCGGTGCCAAACTCCTGGCCCTGGGATGCAGTGGATGTCCTCTGGCTCCTTGTACCAGTGCGCTTTGCATCAAACATGGCCCCCGGACCTGATCTCCTCACTCTGACTTCTGTGCAACTCAGATCCGTCTTCCCAAGAGGGCCTGCTGGCAGCCTGCACAGACTACTAAGTACGACCTGCCCCCCTCGCCCCCTAGGGGTGCCTACTGCGTGAGACTCAGCCTGTATCTAACTGCACACATTTCACATACACACCCAGTTTCACCTAAAGCACTTGTGTGCAGTAGGACATTAAAAAGAAGGATTTCTTTTCTTCACAACTGGCGGAAATTGGGAGTACGTTAACCTGGCATTACAAAGACCCTGTGGACTCCAGGACAGGAGTTTTGCACCTCGTCTTACCCAGTAAAGTAGTGTGGACAGGACTGATAGCACCCTGTTTCACAGTGGGGTTGTTAGTGCAGAAGGCACATAGGTTAGAAAGCCTTGATTACCTTACTGGAAAAAACGGAATGCAGAAATAAGAATTTGGGAGGAGTTGGCATCGTTCGTCAAGGCAAATGACCGTGTTAAGTGCAGGTACAAGTCAGTGGAGGACATTGGTTGTGGAAGGAAACCGTGACTTAACAGAAACGCAGGCAAGAAAACCGGACAAGGAATTAGTGGTACCACTTTAGATTAGGGGTGGCAAAAGCTGTTCCTAAACCTTCAATGGAATATTTCTCGAACAGAGTGACGGAATGGTGATCATTGCACAACTCCTGCTGTAAGCTCATCGCTGGTAACAAAGCCCCGTTCCTGAACACAGCCCGAGCTGCTCCCCTTGCCCCAACCTCAACTGCAGGAGGAGGTTTGCCAACTATCTTTAGTACTTTCTCAGCACAAGAGCAGCTGGTCTATTATCCACCTATGGAGTAAGCCGATTTTGCAACCCCTAAACTAAAGAGCAGTTCATCCAAGTTAGGTAGCTTCTCTACAGCCGTCGGAGTCTAAACGGCGAGGCTGAAGGCGCTCTGCGTGTCGTACCTCTTTCCCTGGGCGGGGCCTGGCCCGGGGCTGAGCCGAGGGGCTTCTGGGAGCCGGGCGGTAGGTCTGGAAGGCAGTACAGCGGACGAGAGGGGGCTGGAGTCATGCTACACTGGGCTGTGGTCGGGAGAGGCGTGCGCGACGGCCACCGCGCACTCCGAGCTCTCCCGGGCGCCGCGGAGGCCGGCGTACAGGCGCTCCTCCAGGCCGGCCGCCAGCTTGTCCGTCAGCTCGGCCACGAGGGTCTGCGGGCCGTAGCCCAC